AGGTTCTCCACCGTGACTGTCGAGGCAGAGTAAGGGTCCACGCGAAGATGTCATTGAAGGAACAAAGCAAGGTATCATCGGTACGCCGCACCGAGGTTTTGCTGCAACGCAACCATCACCAGTCGTGCGCGGCTTCAGGATACAGCGGGGTTCGCCCGGCTCCATACGCAAGCTGGAAGCCGCAAAATCTGGGTTGCGATGCACACACCTTGTCAATTTGGCCATGAGCAAGCCGGTGGAAGTTCTGCCAAGTAACGGACTGAAACTTGAGTAAGCGGACGACATAGGTCTTCTAGCATCTGACGTAGTGACTATATAAATACTACTGGATCGACTGGTGTGCAGCATTACGCTTTGGAATGCGCTTCGCACCTGCAAAGTGCAAGGTACTTCTGCATGACAAGAGCGATATACCATCGGTTTTACTAAACTGAACAGACACTGGAAGTAATGGCTCGGTTTCTTCACCTTGCTAACTGTGTCAGCTCTGGTGGTCAAATCAGTGAGGCTACTCTGCACATCAATAAGGCACGTGGTTTTCCAGAGGCTCTACCATATGTGGAGACGGCGGGATATCAGTATGTCAGTGTTCAAGCGGATAAAGGAACTGACGGAGACTTGGACAGGCTGGTTTGTCGTCTTCGTGGAAGGGACCTCAGAATGCTGCGCAGCAGTGATTGGAGACTCAAAGGGATATGACGTAGTTGTGAAGCCAGTTGTGTGCCTGTATTCGGTTCCTTGCATTTAGGAAACAATTTTCATTCCATCATGTTCAACGCAGATCGTGCTTGATTGCACTATCTTTACATTCTATTTGCATTCAACCCCATGTTTTTGCTGTCATTACGTATTGCTATTCTGATGAAGTGAATCGTAGCAAATGGATACACTACACTTCGCTCCTTAGGTTATAGTTGTTAAATTGAACTGAACAGTAGAGTACAGCAGCAAAACGGGTGTTTTAACACCGTCAAAATGGTAAATCCTCCCCGGTTGTTAGTCGGTCTAATAAAGTGGGAAAGCTGACGGAAGCAGCTGAGCAACCAATGCACGCTAGGGATAAACCTGTGACAGACATTTGTAAATATTTATTACACTCCAAAGCCAGGCGTTTCAATTTCACCTCAGACTATCAGCCTCCAAATAACCCACTTCATTGCGTTCCCTTAAGTGGGCAAGCCGTTTACAGCTTACCTGTGTTGAATTCCTCCAAGAGTGCAGCAGTCAGTAATTCGGTTACAATACTTGAGGCATAAAGCAACATTCAGGCCATAGTAAGAGATAAATGGACATCACACGTCTCGGCTGCCGCCAGGAAAACGCCAGAAAAGACACCCATGACTTCAAATACCTGACTTGGTAAGACTGAAGTGTCGCAGCATGGATTGCTGTCCTCAGTGTCGCCCACCGATTCACACCAAGTAACAGAACCGAGTGTTCTTTAACCGATAACCGACCAAGCGCAACCATAGCACCTTAAGATTTGTGTGGACTAACGTTTCTTAATCCAAAGCCCATACAGTAAGGGGAAAGGTGATAGATGAATGTAATCAATGGGAGGCAGTGCTCCAGGATGTGGTGTGTTGAAGGCTGCCAAGTGTTCTCCCTATAAAAAGCGACAGAAATCCGGTGAACAATACTGCGACGTGGCGATTGTGACTCGCTGCGAAATAAAGTCACAGCCTCGTCCTTTTCCGGAGGATTTTCAGCCCTTCACGAATGTTATCTAATTGGAAGAGGTTCTTTGATCCCTTCATGAGATGGCGAAAAATCGAACAAAATCACGAATGCAGTCACATTGACAAATGCACTCACCATGTCCAGTTACACATACATGATTGGCAGCATCCGGTTCCGGATTCGCCTGTCACTGCGGCCACCACGGGGACAGCGACAGGACGTGTGCCCCTACAGACGGACCATGGGTGGCTTGCGCTTCACCACCCACAGCTCCATCCACACACTCGATATGCAAAAAAAACCAGGGAGGCATGTGGAAGCCAGGTTTCATCAACTGATCCGGCCCACACTCCTTCAACATGTACAGCAGCAGCATTCCTGTCTATTTAAGTATGGAAGCATGTGTAACAGACGTACAGAAGACGGTGGTTGGGTCGCAGTCCGCCAATGACTAGCCGTAACCAATTTTTGGGCCTAACAAAGCCAAGATGATCGTGTACCTTGTCCCCACCCAGCAACGATTCACAGTCTCCTGAAGCCAATAATCGAGGTGGAGAGTGCTAGGCAACATTCACATCAAGCGCAGCCATACCCGGGGATATGGAACAACCAATATAGAATTTGAGAAAAAGCAAACACGCAAAATTGACCCAGAATGTGCAGCAGAAGAACAGAACTGAACACAACAAAGAAGTGGAATAACTTATCCAGAGAAAAAAGACCTATGGTTGGCGGCATCCGGTTTCGGATTTGCCTGTCACTGTGGCAAGCCACAGGACGCCTGCGCCTACAGAGGGACCATGGATGGCTTGCGTTGCACCACCCACAGCTCCAACCACACACCCCATATCCAGTGTAAACCCGAAGGAATAAGACCGGGAGGCATGTGGATGGGAGCCACGTTTCATCAACGGAGCCGGCCCACACTCCTTCACAGGCAAACACAAGCACACTGTATTTGGGGAATCAACCGCACACAAGGCGGTGGCTGGACCGTAGTCCGCTCCACACTGACTACATGGAACCACTCTTTGATCCTAACACGACCACAAGGACCGTGCACCCTGTCCCCTCCAGCAAAGACCAACTGTCTCCTGGAGCCAGTATGGACGACGTAGTGGGTAATAGACAGGTAGGCACCTTGTCAACATGCACAGCAAGCGCAGCCTCACAGGGGATATCAAGCAACAGCCATCACTTGAGAGAAAGATAACAAAGAAAATAAATCGAGTAATGCATAAGGAAAGGGTGACATATAACTTAAAGTAATGAGCATCTGAAGTAAATTGTTTACAGAAGTGTGCGAGATAAGTTCACGAGGTCAGAAGGTATACTATACGGAAATGCCACGAACACAAAAATGCCTTCGAAAATGAGAAGGATTGGCTTAAGTGACGTGTGCAAGTTTATAGAAGAAAGTATAGGTAGACATTTATAGGAGAAAGCAAAGCATTGGGACAAAATTGAAAACCCACCACCTGAAATAAACAGACTTAGCACGCAAAAAAGACCTACATATATACATATACCCATAGACCAAGTATGTTACTGGCTAATTGGCGACATTTTAATAGATTTAAAAACAATACGTGTTTGGATAATCAGGATCAGGATTCTGCAGGCGTGCCTCGCACCGCCGAAAATAAACCATTATTATTAGTCTACTAAATACCTAACAAGATCTAGCCAAGAAATTCTGTTGACCCCAAGATCCTTTATAGATTTGTTATCAAACTCCGTAAAGTGCAACAAGGGATTCCTGCCCTACATAAGCCATGCGGACCAGTACAAACTGTAACATAAGCGCCCAACAACTTTGCTAGAAATCCTCCCCAAAACTTTCAAAGCACGACTTCGTTGCTAATGCTTTTCAAGCAAATTGTAAAAACCATAGAACGTAGGGATACCGTTTACGGCTACCTATGTTCTGAAAAGGATCATTTCACTGCACGAACATACCTCTCTTGGTCCTGATAATATATGCCCAAAAGCGCCTAAGTTGGTTGCGATGAATTTGGCGGGCCCAATCTTAGTTCATCTAACGATGTCTCGACGAGATGTGTGTTCCCACAATGTGGAATCACAAAATCGTCACTGTGATTCACAAAGGGGGAAATCATGCAGATCCATCCCACCCCTTTCGGTGCAATCCAATGTCATAGAGTCTGTTATCTCCGAAACGCTCATGAACTACTTGGAGGCATGCAACATCATAACACCAGAACAGCGTACGGATTTCGCCAGAACCGGTCTTGCATCACAAACCTTCTACTTGCTTGCTCCAGCTGGACTGAACTACTTGACAGCGGTGTCAGAGTTGATTTCGAAAAAGCGTTCAATCGTCTGAACCACCGCACTCTCGTTCACAAGCCTCAAAGCTGTGGATTTGGTGACCCAATTCTCGGCTGGATAGGCAAAAATTCAATGACATCTGTATGTGAGAGCTTGCGGTGTTCAGTGCTGAGTGTCACAGGACTCAGCACTTGGTCCACGGTTACTTTTGATTTATATAAACGGTCTCACGAAAGTGATCGTGATCGATTCCTCCCTATTCACTGATAATCTCAAGATATGGCTGGCTATGAAAATAACGGGAGACCAGTGAGAGGGTATAGGAATGGGTGACACAGAACATGTTTTATTTTAACGCTATCAAGAGTAAGACACTGAGAATACGCCACCAATCCACTTGCAAGTGCGCTTTTACGGAATGATACCTGCGAGTGATGGTACGAGACGATCTTGGCTGTTCAAACCAGATGGAGAGAGCATGCAAAAACCTAATCAACACTGGTAATTTTGAGGGAATTTTGGCGCGCTAACTCTGCCATTTCCTTTTGGATGCTCAACGCCTACATTAGGCCCCATTCAGAATACGCCATTCACGACTGGCAGCCCTGGCACAAGTATGATAGTGTCGCACTTTCAATGTCACAAGGTAGGAGGAGCTTGAACTTACCAACCGAGAGTGAAAACCTGTGAGATCAAAATGAGCTATATCAACGCCGGCGTGGAGATTTGATGAACGCATATTTGATCCTGAGGAATCCAAGTCATGCTTAGCGACATTTTTTAAAGCGGAACCAAAGAATCACTCTAAGTGGTCACTAGCGAAAGTTAGCCACACTGTATGGCTGGTTGGAATGCCGTCGGAATTCGTTTTCACTTCATGTGTCCCAGCTTCATAACGCATTCCCCAGCAAAGCTGTTACCCTTCGCACACTAGCGGTGACACACTCATGCCTTACTTTACGCTGTGTAATCTTTTATAGCCGTGCGCCAACCAAACGTGCGCATTTGCACTACCAGCACCTAATTTCTTAAAAGTTGCTACGGTGGAATACCGCTGACGTACGCAACTTGAATTTAAGTATCACATCGAACTAAGGAAAAAAACGAGTGAGCAGTCTTTTCTATCCGAGAGGTCAGTGAACCTGTTGGAATCCAGGAAAAACCTCCCGGCTGGCTCTGAACACAATGCGACCAGACAGGCTATTAGGCGCGAACTAAAGCGGAGTCTAAGTGCAGAGAAGGAAGCCCGATGGACCAGTAGGCAATTACCGCAAGCTCCTCCAGCTTATCCGTACTACTGGTCCTAGGAAACCAGGCGTCAGTGATACAGCGCAGATGCACTGATACACAATACGGAGCACTGTACGGCTCGTTGGGTGGAACAATTTCAAGGTCAGCTCAGCTGGCACCCTGCTTCCGGACTTCTTCCTACTCAGGTGATGCAGGACAAGCCATGGACGGTTAGTTTAGAGCCTCCGTCGGAGGCCAGGGTCCGGAACGTGATCACAGCCCTCAATCGTTTTCGTGCCACTGGCCCGGATTCCCTCCCACCTGCACTATTTAAGGATGGAGGTGAGGTCCTCTGCAAAGCACTGACCACCCTAATAAAACGTAGCTGCAAGGAAGTGTCCCGGCTGATTGGAACGAATCGAGTATAGTGGCAATGTACAAGAAGGAGAGACACAGACTGTTCTAACCACAGGGGTATTAGCCTAACCCCAGTTGAGACAAAATTACGGGCCTCGATTCACGTTCACCGCCTCACTGTGGAGTGGGAATCTTGGCGTAGGGAAGAGCAGGTAGGTTTCCGTGCAGGGCGTGGCTGTATAGACCATATATCCACTCTGTGGCAGGCGCTAGAGCAGCACCACGCATACGGTAGACTGACAATAGGTGTGTTCCTCGAATTCAAGATTGCGTTCGATTCAGTCGACCGGAGCTTTCTGTTCGAAATACTTATGCGGAAAGGCGTTCCCAAGAAATATGCGAACATCCTACGTGCTTTATTCTCGAACACTAGAGGCTGCGTCAGGGTCTATGGTGACTTGTCGGATAGCTTTCCGACCACAAGTGGCGTTCATCAGGGTTGACCAATTTCCCCATTTTTGTTCAATTTCATCGTAGATTCTAGCATGGAGTTTTTCCTTGCGGAATCTCATGATGCAGGCGTTGAGGTCCTACCTGGTGAGAGGTTACTTGAACTCGATTATGCGGATGATATTGTCTTGCTTTTCGATGTTGTGGCGGTACAATCAACCCTGAATAACCTGTCTAGAGTGGTCCCATTATTTGGCATGCGCCTCGCAACATCAAAGTGTCGCTGAAGAACCACCATACATTTATGACCCCTTGACTCCTGATAACGAGAAACTCCAGCTGGTTGATCGATTCACTTATGTTGGCAACTGCATCAGCAACGATGGGCGCATAGAAACCGACGTCAGTTCACGCATTACAAAGGCCAGAGCTGCCTTCTTGAACCAGCGGCATCTCTGGCGACATAAGAGAATTTCCCTCCGTCTGAAAGGCCGTGTATACAATGCCACAGTGAGAGCCGCTCTGCTCCAAGGTAGTGAGACTTGGTCCCTGCCGTCTGAAGATCCGAGGCGCCTTCAAGTCTTTGATCATCGTTGTCTGCGAAGCATTGCTGGTGTCAGATGGCACCAGCGTCTCCGCAATGATGATGTGCGTAGGCGAGTACTAGGTGGTGATAATCATGCTAGCTCCCTAGAACAACAGATAGCACTGAATAAGTTGCACTGGGTTGGGCACGTGCCACGTACGCCTGGTCACCGATTATGTAGAAGGGCCTTGTTTAGTCTGCCAGATGTAGGATGGCGCAAAGCTCGAGGTGGACAGAAGTTGACTTGGCAGCGGGAAATGAAGTTACTGACGACCAAACTGGGTGCCGTTGGTCTGTCTCGCCTTCCAGGCTGGCGTCCACATGACTCGCCTTGTGCTTGGCACGAGACTTTACAGGACATGGCTCCCAGCAGACACCAGTGGCGCGTCTGCTGCCGTCTCCTAATCGGATTGCCTGTTTAAAGTGTGTTTGGTGCTGAGTTATCTGCGGGGTAATGGCTGATTATGACGGGTGGCAGTGAAAGTCGCAAGGAAGTTGCCTCGCCGATGTCGCCTTATCTTTGCACGATAGCCAGCTGTTTGTGACGGTATGTTGTCTACACAAGGTGTAGGTGCCTTGACCCTGAATGTTTGCTTAGGGCATTAGGGTTTTCAGGTAGGTCCCCCCTTCTCTCCCTCTTATTATCCTTTATTCCACAGGTCAACAAGGTTGTATGACAGCGGAGCATCAGTACAAATGGCTGATGTACTGCTGCTGTTGATGGTGTTGGTCATTTCTACGGCTTAGTTTTTCTCATGGAATACATCAGCCGTTCCCCAGATTGCTTTGTGCGCGCACGTTCAATTCCTATTTCACACTATCGTTATGCATCGGTGTACTTAAAACGGCAGAAGCTAAAACTGATGGTTCGCGCATCCTTTCTTAGTGTTCACTCCAACCACCCTAGGTGATTTACTAAGCACGTGCATCTTACCCGTGATAAATCATTGATCATTAGATATGAAATCAGGAACAGAATGTAAAAAGCTTAATGGTATGTATCAGTCTCGAGTAAGAAAATTGGCCATTGATGTTGTCCATCGTGATTTCCCGTGGAGGGTTACACAGGAGTGAAATGCAATGAAAATGAAAACAAACTCACCCCTAGCGCATCGACCGTAACTTCTGGATCTCGGAAGACTTTGGCCAGTTCAGAAATCGTCCCCGTATTGATTGCCGCAGTGGCAGCTACAACTGTGCGTGAAGACAAAGGAAAATGACCGTTTGTGACAAGAGTAAACGAGGTCCATTGAAAATGGGGGCCTCAATTGATGTGGCGCAGGGAAATAAAAAGCTCGTCTATGAACGGACATGGATGGTTACCGCAAACAAAGACTGAGATGATGTTGCACAGACGGAATCGGCGATAAAAGTGTTGAAGCGACGAATAGGGACTTACGGTGACTTTGTTGATCAACTGTTAGGACCGATGCTGGATCGAATAAACCAAGCAAACGGTAGATCATAAAACTGTCAGACCGCAACTGACTTAGACCCCACTCTTGAGAGCTACAAATGGAGGATAAATAAACAGAGACTAGTTCGATTACTTGGATGACAGTAGTACACAAGATGTTTTCGTATATGCGATAAAACAAGTATGAAAAAGACTAGCATGATGTTCAAAATGTGAGCGATTGATGTAGATGTGAAGACTTTGGTAGAGCCACCTGGTGTCGTAGATACTCAAAGGGAGTTAAATTGGGCGAAGTATCGTTACAGACGAAATGAAGCGCACAAACGAAGGCACTGAATTGGACATATGCGTAGTTATAAGATATAAAGCCAAATAACCAAATGCTAGCTAAAAAGAATCCAAAACTTAGTTCGGGTGTCAAAAGTGAGGCGAGTCAAATAGTGAAAAAAGCATGAAAAACGTAGTAGCATGGATTACATCTCGAACGCCAATAAAGGGGCTAGGCTAGTTTCAAAAAAAAACATTAATAACTAGCTAAAGCCTATTGAACGAGGGCTTCATGGCCTACCGTAGGCCCGACAATCAAGTAAAGTGTGTGAATTCCGAAACAGGGTGATTGATAGTGGAAAACAAAAAAATGCCACTTTTGCTATGGAGAAAGCTTTGCACGCAAACTGTATAAACGTACTACTAGATTGGGATCAAGTTATAATGTCTATCAAAGCGTTTTTCATTGTGATGATCGCACTATGTCAGTCGTGTCTTGTTGTGCCAATTGCTACGCCTCGGGTAATAGAAAAGCAATCGGCTCTTCAAAACCATGCATAGGAAGCCTGGGTAAGTGTTTGTAAAACACGTCACAAGTTCGAGAGCAGATGGATAAAAATATTTCGCGGTAAAGAAAGAGAGATCTACCGCTTCGACACACGACAGAAAGCAGGGAAACAAAACAGCAGATGCCAAGTGGTCGTCGAAATGTTACAGATGATGGTGGTCAGTGTAAGCAACAACGAATAAAAACTGCAGAGCAAGACAAAGACCGAGACAGAAGGCGAAAAAGAGTAGACTTTCGGGGTTTCTCTCCCTAAACACTCTAGCCCGTGACCACTGTCCTCCATATCTAATCTCTTCAGATAATGGGAATCTGAACTGAGAATGGAAACCTTTAGCAAATGTGTGAACATGCTCAAAGTGAGCAGCATCAGATGCACATTGACTGTATGAGAGAATAAACTAACTTTGGATTAGATAGGGCGGAAAGGAGGAGAGCAGCTTTATGGGAATCACTGGCAGCATAAGTGTACCAGTCATTGAGCTGAGTAACTGCATTGGTTGTCATTGTGTAAGCTCCATTAAGCCATTCAGATGATAGAAAAGTCCACGATTTAGGGGATACGAACGCGGATCCACTTTGAAGCATACGCTGACATATGACAAGCCAGGTCGGGAGATAACGAGCAGTTAGGTTGTCGGCGTCGATAGCGTTTGGAAGGATATGCTCGTGAAGCCAACCGGCAACAGCCTTTACAGCGTTCGCATCTGGCAACTGATCATCACCTAAAGGTACAAGTAGGGTAGAGTCGAAGGAAGCTAGGAGACGGTTGTCCAAGTTCACAGGATGGTGCTGGGATAGCCCGTGGGTCAACAGTGACTGAGGCAAGACGTGCAGCCGATCATATGAAAGAAGAAGCTGGGTTGTGAGAGTGAGGTGTTCATTGGTCTTTGGGAAAATGAGCAAGCCTAATTGGCTAGCCCACATACGGAGGGAGTGCGCAGTTTGTAAGCGACCGGAACTACCTACAATGAAGGAGAAAAAGACGAGCCGTTAGATCAATGTGTAGCACAGAAAAAGGGAAAAAACTGGAGAGAAGTTATAAAATGAATGCGTTGCGACACATAGTATTCAGCAGTTCACACGATATGCAGTGACACAGCGGCAAGAACGATAACCACGGAATGGGAAAATTGCGCAGCATCTGGCGGTACTAGTAGTATGAGGACCAGTCTGTCCTCAAGATATATTCCGAAACATTGTGAACAATTCCGAAGGACCTATCCTGCGATATGTTCGTCCCGTGCAATGATCCACTCACTGCAATTCCGAGTACATATTAACCAACCCACTTTTTCTCCCAACATAAACTTGTGTGCACTGGCTTTCAAAAGATTCTGTGACCTGTTCTATGTACATTCAATCGCCCACACACGTTTACCTCACTTTAATTTGATGTCAACTGGTCCACTCGAACTATAACTAGTACCAGAGGTAATAGTATCGGTGCTCTTGGATGTTTGAATGCTTGCTCTGTTTTGGAGATTGACACGCCTGATCACAACTCACGGTGGTTACATCGGATTGTCAGTGACCACACATTCTAAAAGAAAGTTGATGTGGGGGAGGTCTCCCATGAAAATCATTTCGTTCGTGTGCTTCAATGTGTTTCCGTCCCCTCTCAATGTACCACTGAACGTTAGCAATGCCAGACACCAACGACTACGACTCTGCCTAGCAGCGAAAGGAAAGAACGCAAGTTTCCACATGTGCGTATATATATATATATATGTATATATATATATATATATATATATATATATATATATATATATATATATATATATATATATATATATATATGATTTGGCGGCGTCCGTATAAGGATTTGCCTGTCACTGTGACGTCCATGGGGACAGTCACAGGACGCCTGCGCCTACAAAGGGGACCATGGGTGGCTTGCGCTGCACCACCCACAGCTCCAACCACACACCCCATATCCAGTGTAAACCCGAAGGAATAAGACCGGGAGGCATGCGGATGGGAGCCACGTTTCATCAACGGAGCCGGCCCACACTCCTTCAACAAGCAGATCGGAAGCATTCCGGCCTAATTGGGAAACCATACACACCAGACGTACACGAGGCGGTGGTTGGACCGTAGCCCGTTCCATACAGATTGCATGGAACCACTCTTTGAGCCTAGCACCATCACGAGGACGGTGCACTCCGTCCCCTCCAGCGACGACCAACTGTCTCCTGGAGCCAGTATGGACGAGGTAGTGGGTAATAGACAGGTAGGCACCTTGTAAATGGGACTCGGCTAAGGTACAAAACGCGCTAACATCTGTTCGTGTCTCGATACATTACCACTTGACAGATGGATCTTATTACATTTCTTCTCGTGTGACACCGTGACTTATTAGGGGTTGCAAAATGAGGTCAATGTATCCCATCTCAAGTGTCTCTATACGCCCCATTGTACTGCGGCCGCCTTCAGGTAAACGCACTGAGATTCAGACAAGTCATCTAGGTTGATTCCCGAAACAGCGGCAATACGTTGTGATATCCGAATCGAAATGCATGGGCATAGGTAGTATTCTAAACACTGATGGATTGGTCAAGATATGCTAGCGGTCCGAACGAATGACCAAGGGGAAATAAATAGTAACACATGACGGACTGCTTGATGGTTCTACCTCCCTGTTGATTCTCGCTCACCTCGGACAACAGACGATTAGAACCGGCTCTGGTTTTACCTTACGACACGGATAGTCTGAAGTGGACATAATCGCACCATTTCCTTGCTAAATTGACAAGTTGCTTACGCCATCTCCGTCATTCATTTTGGTGTCATCCTTATTCTATATACCGCATGTAAGTCGGGCTTGGGTGCAGTTCATTTTAGAATGATTAACTACTGATTTGGTGCAATGTGGTATCTCTATTGCACCAGCCTAGAACGGATGAGCCACAGGTAACCTAACTTTTTAGGCTTATTTAACTCGGTTGTATTTCGCGATGACTTCACATGTTGCCCATTACGATATTGTACTCATCATGATCTATGCTATGCTATCATGGCTACCTCCTCAAGCGGCGTCTAGTAAGGTTACATACCGAGAGTGAGCTATGGCATCTTCATTTTCGTATTATTATTCGGCCGCGATTCATATCACTATGTCAGCTCCATGGTATTACTCACCATAACTGTAGCTTGACTAGCTGCTCAATGCTAACTTGCATGATGCTTAGAGAGCCGGTGCATCGCAGAATAACGATTTAGTCCATCCATGAGGTCATTCGTAATTGATGTGAGTGCGGTATTTCCGAGCGATTTGTGTGCTTACTACGGATCAATGCTAGGGTGGCAAATTATTGTGTATGTTTCCAGTTCGATGGATACGTTTGAATCAAAAGGTTATCATCGCTTGGCCGTTTACAGTACGCATAAAATGTCAAATTTGACATTTGTAACACAATGCTCAACGATTGTCCTTCGTGTGACCACTTTGGATTATGCATTCGAAGAGAAATTTCCCTGGAAAATCTGTGTCAAGTGAACAATCCGACAATTAACCGACTAGCGATTATCACGATGTTGCCATTCCATGTTCCACTCCGCAGGCTAGTGAAGAGAGTGAGTATAGTTATAGTTCCAGTTATCCCTCAGCCATACTGAATTTACCGGGGCATATGAAACACACGTATTAACCGGATGGAAGGCAGACGTGCAGAGACGCCTACCAGAAGTTGCATTGCACATGGCCAATCTTTTGAATGGATTAAGTAAAAGGTTGCATCTAACGGGAATGGTAAGTCAATGTGTTATTATATAACATCGAAAATGAATCGGCGCATAGCGACAATGGTTTTATGAGTACCGAATGGGCCGCACCTGGAACGTACTATATAGACCGTTAGCAAATAGCTTATGGCCACAGTAGAGTACAGGTCGGTAGGTATAACGGTTGAGTACTTGGACATTTGCACAATAAATGTGAACACTGTTTGGAAAGTCGCATGTTTGACAGTGGGCAGCGGGACTTAGTTGATGTCACTTGTCAATACCAAAGGTTGCGCATCAATCGTTCTTTGAGTAGGTGCACATGCCTCGGGCAGCACATGACCGAACCGGTCGGAGACACAGAGAGCCAGAAGTGGACACTGTATCGCATTCACATGTTGTATGATTTCCCACATCAGCTACTCAAACCAGACTGTACATGTAGAGGGCAACACCTAAGTGCACAGTTTCACAGTACCAGTAGTCTAGTCATCATTCTACCTATCAGTTGCTTTACTATTGCCACATCGGATTCCTTCAAATATGGATGCCCAAAATTTAAGGCAGTCACGTCTAAAGGTAGAAGAAAACATCAACAGTTGGTATTGGGTAGTTATTCTCATACCTGCGAAAGTGGCTGTTAGCCTAACTTCCAAACGAAACCCATACACGTTTGTCATACCATTGATGATGATGTCTAATGTGGCTCTATGCAGTTGGTGACAGCTCACACTTAAGTTTGGATAAACGCATGTACATATGTTGCATTCGAACTGCCATTGGACACAGATGACGCCAATCTATGTATATATGTATACCGAATGAATTCCACGAGGATCTTCATACCGATTTTGTACGGTTAACTTAGTGCAGTAGAACGACATTCGAGCAAACCGAAAATAATATTACGAGAACATGAGGAAGGTGAGTTTATGACAAACTCATGTTGATTTTAGGTGTTGCGAATCCAAGGCAAATTTGATCGATGCGAATTCCGTGAACTACTCAAAAGGGCGGTTTCTTAGGTGCCGGAGAAGGCACTATAGTATGTGGAATAGAAGCACCATGAGTATGTTCCCATTCAATTTACTAATCCAGGCCAATCAGGCGGCGTATGTGGTACGTTTGCCTGTGTGATGAGTAATCTTGCATTTCAGAAGTAGATGTTGCTTGAGCACCCCTGTGTGGATATATATATATATATATATATATATATATATATATATATAACAGCAATCTATAAGATAGACACAGAGTCAGCGAAAACCATGAAACGGAGGTAATAAATATAGAGACTAAAGCGAAAAGAATGAAAGTTGCAAAAAAGGATTTTGTATCTTTTCTGTTTTGTTTATCACACACAGTTTAATCTTTTTGTCTGTTTAATGTTTGCAATGCAAATCAAGGCAAACATTTGTACACATTTGCCAGTGAGCCCGGTTCTGCGCCATCTCCGAAAGAGTTTCCAGCCAAAGGTTTTCTTTATGTTTGATCCCCCAGCCCGGATGACACACGGGACCTACGACAGCCAAACTGGAAGTCAGCGTTGTAATCGTTTGTCGCCACGTGATAGCTGACCCGCACGCGATTTCTTCCAACCTGGACCTATGCGAGCGAAGAGAGCTCGTCGAGGCAGCCGTTCGCAAGGCATGCGTAAAACGTGGCCCAGCCACCTCAGTTGACGCAGTGGTACCAGTCTGTCAAATGGAAGTCCCGTGTTACCCAAGACGCGGCGTCTGCTACCATCGTTGTGTACGTGGTACATGCAGGACACTCGAGCTATTCTCCGCAGACATCCATTGTTAAAGGCCGAAATCCGACGCAAGTCACTCATAAGAATCAGCCAGGACTCACTCCCATGCAGGAGAACCGCGCGAACACAGGCATTGTAGACCCTACCCTTTACCAACAGTGAAAAGTCGCGGCGTCGCCACAGATATCTCAAGTTGGCAAATGCCGAACAGGCTTTGGCAATGCGGAGGGAAATCTCTTTTCCAATGTTAAGATCAGCAGAGATACAGCTTCCCAGGTAAACAAAGTTGTCCACTTGTTATAGCTACGTACCTACAAGAGTGAGCACAGAAGCAGGTAGATGCCAATCCAGGACTAGGACTTGGAATTTCGTAGGGGCAGAGGTCAATCCGTATTTTGACGCTTCAATCGCCAAGCGGTTTAGTACGGCTTGTGTGCTCCGTGTGTCATCACTAAGCAAGGCAATATCATCAGCATAATCTAAATC